TGCGCCCACGTGGCCTTAGGACTCTGACACGCTGCTGTGACTGGGTGCGGGGTTATGCCTCTCACCTGGTGTGGCCGGTACAGGCCGGGCAGGTGCCTACTTCTGGGTGCCCCCTGGAGGGGTCACCAGGGCAGGCCAGGTCCATGGGCTGATCTCCGGGGAGATGAATCTGCTTTCAGCAAGGAAAGGCCTCAGGCAGAGGGGACTCACTGCTGTGCAAAGGCCCTGTGGCACGGCAGCCGCCAGGGCCAAATGTGCAGGGCATGGAAGCCTAGATGGAAAGCTAAGTGGAGCTCAGATCCTCAAGTGCCTCTTAAGCCATGTTAAGGAGTTTGAACTGTGTCTTGAGGGCTCTCGGCATGGAGGGGACTTGACAAAATGTGTGTTTTGAGGCAGATCTCTCGGCTGGGGCCAGAGCGCAGCAGGGCAGGAGTGCCAAGGTGGTCACTACTACCTCGCCCGGCTCTCGAGAGGCCGGCCAGACCCTGGGTTTGGGGGGGACCTCTGAGGCAGGTCAGGGCAGCTGTGCGGTGGAATCTGGGAGCCCCCACCCCGACAGGCACTGCCCCTCCCTGGCTGGAAACTGCAAGGCAGTGAGGACAAAGCTGACAATGGACTGCACGGGGGTGGAGGCTGCCCCCCGGCATGCTTTGGGAAAGCAGGCAGAACAATCCCTAAACGGTATCCAGGCAATTAATTATTTCTTATCTCACCAAGTGAGGGGCCCATGTGGAAATCACTCCCATCCTTCTGTTCAAATTTTATGTTGCTGTTTATTCAGAACAGGAAAAGAGCAGAAAATAGAACTTTTCAGAGTGGCTGCCAGTTGGAGGGTTTTTTCCTTTCATTGCTGCATTACGAGAACAGAGGGGGAGGGGCCTTCTTGTGGCTCTTGAGGTGAGGGCGGGTTTCCCCCAGGGAGGGAGTGCTCTGGGGGTGACCTGCCCAACCTGAGGGTACCCCAGAATCTACCTCAACCCCAACCCTGGACTGTCCTCACTTGGGGGTGAAAAGGTCTCCTCCCTACTGCCTCCAGGAAGAAGGAACAGTCCTGACAGCTATTCCTGGTGAAGGCAGCCCCTGGGCGTGGGGCCAGGGGAAGGGCCTCCAGACCAGCTGGAGGCACTGGGTGTCCAGTGAGCACTGGGCTGGGAGCCGGGGGTGGGGGTGGAGGGGTGGGGGTGGGTTGGGGGCTGAGGCTTCAGCCCAGTCCTGCCTACTCACGTGAAGCCGAGCTGATTACATTGTCTTCTTGGTCTCAGCTTCCTCATCTCTAAAATGGATCTCCCACTTTCAGCCTGTGTTCTGGAAAAGGTGTCCTACACCTCGGGACCCTCACGCACCCAAGTAAAACTCATAATATATTCCAGTGTGGCGGCCATGTGGGTGGCCCTCTGTGGGGGAGGGGCCAGGGGACACGTGTCAGGGTCTTGCTGCATTCACATCTCTCGGTGGGCCTAGAGGTCCTCAGAGTTTCAGAGTGTCCCTGGAGCCAGGGAAGCGAGGGCCCCTGGGAAGCTGAGGGACCCTGGGAAGCTGAGGGGCCTGAAGTGTGGGAGGTGGAAATTCTCCCATTTCCTCACCGTGGGGCCTCGAGCCCTTCGTCTCTCTGAGCTTCTGTTCCTTCATTTTGGACGATGCAGTGATGATGCTGGCTCCGTGTGAGTGGGGGTTAAATGAGTGAGAGGTGGGCTGGGGGAGGTCCTGCTGGCAGTTCAGAGCCACGCTCACGGAGCTTCTTGGCCTCTGACAAGTGTTTGTCGAACAAGCAATGCAAGTGAAGTCTGTGGTATGGTGACTGGCACAGAGTCAGAAGCGAAGCTAGCTACACCCGCCTGTTCCACGCGCCCGTCACACTGTCCGCACGGTGATTCAGGCCTCCGGGGCTCCTGCTTCCCAGCACTGGGGGCCTCTCAGCTCCAGCTTCACCAGGGAGAGAGCCCGTGCCCAGCGCCACACCCTGTTCCTTGCCGGCCGCCAGACGCCTCCCACCGGGCTGAGTTTCCCCAGAGGAAGCAGGGGTCCCCGGGGCTGCGCCGGGGTCACCCACCTTGCCTGTCTCGTGTTGTCCGGCTGCCCAGGGTGGGGCTGCGTCAGAGCCGCGGCTCCCCCAGCGCCAGCGTGGCGGCCCTGTCCACCTTCCTGCCCTGCTGGGTGTGAGGCACCCCCCGGCCTGGGGCAGACCTTCCTCTGGTGCGCTGCTCCTTCCACACCCGCACCCACTCTCCAAAGCCCAATGGCTATTTTTTCTCAACCTCCAGCTCTCAGCCTCCAGCTGGCCACTGTGAGATCTGAGTTGAATGTTCTGCTTTTTACCGCCTGCTCCAGAATGGCTGGCTGCTTCTGGAGGGTTCTCACAGAGCTGCTTGCAGGCCTCTGGGCCGGAGAGGGTGCTTGCTGCGGGCACCCCGTGGCCTCCTGCGGGGCTCTCACCCGGGAACCTCATCTCCCTCTCCCTCCCTCCAGGTACCTGGTCCCAAACCTTCCCCCAGCTATCGGCCGTCCCATTGCCAGACACTCACTGCCCTCGTCCCCTAGAAGATTCTGGATGACCCATTGCCCCCGGGACAGCCACAAGCTCACTGCAGCATTCACGCAGTCTGAGGCCTGCTCTCACAAGGTCCCTGAGGCTGGGTCAGGACAGAGCCCGGTCACCAGGAGCTCCAGGCCCCTCCTCCAGTGGAGTCACCCCAGGGAGCCTTCTGAGTGCACCCCCAGAGCAAAGGCAGGCGGTGTGGACTCCTGAGCCCAGGTGGAGGAAGTGGTGAGAGCAGCACGTGCTGTCCAGAGCTGTAAAGCCTGCTGTCTGCCCCTGTTGCTTGCTGCTTGCTGAGGAGCAGGGGACCCCCGCATGCTGTTGGAGTCATAAAGGCTCAGAGGAGGGGCTCTGAGCCCTGAGGTCCTGAGGTCCTCTCAGAGGAGCTTGCCTAGACCCCTGCACTGGCTCTCGACAGGTGAACATGAGGAAAGGCATTTCACATGGAGGGCATAGCAGTAGTGAAGTCCAGAGGTCAGTGTGGGGCATGTGGATTACCTGGGTTTTATGTGGGGTTCCCGGCCTTTTAGGGAGGCTGTGAAATGGGGGGAGCTCCTGCCGTGCTGTCTGGGACTCAGGGACTGCACAGGACACAGCCCTTCAGGAAGGAAACGGAGGGGGGACTGGCCAAACCCAGGGAGGTGGTCACTTGACGGCCAGAGCCAGATGGATCCGGTGGGGACAAGCTTTGGGTTTACCGGGAAGAATCTGGGGTTTCGCTTTCTGTGTTGTGAGTTAGAAAAGGACCTTTTTTTGTAAGAGATGGGACAGAAGCGTCATCCCCACTTGGTCCCTCACTGACGGGGACAATGAGGAGACGGGTGTGAGCGGAGGCCGGACTTTCCAGGGCAGTCAGCAGACAAGCGGGTGTTCCGGGGCTGGCCTGGGCGCCCCGAGCCGCTGGCGTCAGGGCCAGGCGTGGGCGCGTGGCCTGGGGTCTCCGGCAGGCACTGGGCAGTGGGGCTGCGTTCACCTCGGCTGCCCTGCCTGTGGGGGCTGGCTCAGTCTTCCTAGTTGTGCACGCCCGCTGGGCAGCCAGGCCTGAGCCGGGCAGCTCCGGGGAGCATGTTGTGCAGATGATGGCTGGGACTCAGGCTGGCCCACAGGACTGACCCGGCCCTGTGCGCGAACCACCCTGCAGCCCCTCTCCGTGTTGGGAAACAGCACTGCATGCTGGTCTCCAGAAGGAGCTCCCTGGCTGAGCAGTCACACACAGGGGTCAGCAAGCGTGGCCGGGCCAGCTCCCCTCGCTCCCAGCCCACGCTGCACCTCCAGAACACTAGGCGGAGAAGCGTTGTGACTGACCACAGGGGCCCGATCTAGGGCAGGTGGAGCCTGAGCTTGGCGACGAGCGACAGGTGTGGTGGGCAGCAAGCAGGTCTGGTCAGAGGGTGTGAGCATCTGGGCAGGAGGCTGGAACCGAGGGCAGGAGTGTGGAGATAGCTGGCCTGGTCCCGAGTGCCGGACCTGGGGCAGGACGCCAGACACGCAGCTCTGCCGCGGCACAGTGGCACACGGTGTGCGGGCCCTTCGCTCACGCATCTGGGTCTCAGCCACCTGGGTGCAGCAGGCCCGTGGTGGTGGAGCTAGATGAGCCGATGCCAGGACTGCAGACGCAATACTCCCCTGTGGGGGACTCCAGGGGCGGCGCTGGTGGGCAGGGGACCTCTGTCGCCCGAGCCCTGACCAGAGAGCCTCCCTGGCGAGCCCCACTATAAGGAGAATGTTAGCGCCGGCTGTGCGGGGCTCAGCCAGAGGGCGGCGTGGCTGTGTGGACACGGTGGTGGCCAGCAGTGCTGTTGCAGGGAAAGGGCTTGGGAGGGGGTCCTGGCCCCCTTCACCCTGAGCACACTGGCCACAGCTCATGGGTGGTGCCCACGGTGGGTACCACCAGAGAGGGGCCCCATGTCTTTGGGGCAGGTCAGGGGAGGAGGCCCCTTCCTGCACAGGGCTGGGTGGGGTCCTGAGAGCCTCATGAAGGGCACCCGGAGTTGCTGATACTTGGTGATCGTCTCTGTGGGGGTGGACACGCCTCGGAGAGGCAGTGACGCCTACCCTGCCTGGGGTGATGGGCACCTCTGAAGCGCACACCTCAGTCAAAGCGGCAAATTCTGCGCAGCATGTTTGTGTGTTTTACTAATTAAAGAAACAGGAAACAGGACCCTCCCTGGTGGCGCAGCAGGTTAAAGCACAGCACTGAGAAGCTAAAGCCACTGCAGCATGAGTTCGATCCCCGCCTGCCCTGGAGGTGACCACAGGGCGCGGCAGACCTCTCCTGACCCGCCCGCTGCTCCCCTCAGCAGTGGACTTCATTGGTCTGCTTGTTCTGCACCTCTGGCCTGTACCCCAGTTCTGTATGCACAAATAAATAATTTTTTTTTTTTTTACTTTTCATCCTAGAGAAGTTTCCATATAAATAAATAAATCTTAAAAAAAAAAAAACAGGAAATGATTATTAAGGTTATGAAAAACACGGCTGAGAAACTGCAGCTGGAAGATGGGAAACACGACAACCCTGTGGATCAGCTCCTGGGCTGAGAAGAAGACGATGCATGTCCACTGAGGAAAAATGGATAATGCCGAATCAAGTCTGGGTGTGGTTAATAACGTTACCCCAGCACTGACTTCTCTGTGTGACAAATAAATGTTCGTGGTTATGTAAGATGTGAACATCAGGGAAGCCAGCGAGCGTGGATGAGAACTCTCTGTACTGTCTTTGCAACTTGTCTGTAAAGCTAAAATTATTCCAAAACAAAAAGTTTTCAATAAATTACAGCAATAGAAAGCCCTCTGTGGCGAGCCGGGCCTGGGCGTGGCGCTGGGCCTCAGGCTCTGCCTGGGAAGGGCCAGGGTGGCCGGTCTGGCCACGGCCCGAGCCCCCGCAGCGGGCGGTGTCCTGGCTCTCCCGTGCTGTCCACATCCCGCTCTGCTCTCCCCTGGGGCCTGAGCGTCCTCCCGGAGCTGGAAGCGGGGCCGCCTGGCCCAGTGTGGGCAGGGCCTGGAAGGCTGGACTGGGCCAGCCGCTGGTGGGGCCAGGCGGTCGGTCTGACTGCGTGCCTCGCCCGCCTGCTCACAGGCTGGAGCCCATTGGGCCCCACCCGGGCCTTTTCCCTGGAAGCACTGTTCACCTCTCTAGCACTTTGGAACCCAAGCCAGGCCTGCCAGAATGTTCTCCCGCTGCACTTTCCAGCTGTCCAGGCCGGCCAGCTGACCGTCCATTTCAGAGCTTCCCTTATGGGGTCATGTGCCCCCCACCCCGGTTTGTGGTCATCTTCTCCACTTACCTCTCCCCTCCTCCCCTCCCTTTGTTTCTCTAGAACTTATTTTCTAGAACTCGGAAAGGTCCGTTAGGGTCACACTGTCAGAAACAAAAGCAAAGGAACAGGATGGGCAGGGAAAACATTCAGGCAGTGACGCAGAGCTGACAGGTGTTCTGAACATACATCGCCAAGGCCCATGGGTCCCGGCTTGGGACAGACGCGTCCTCTTCAGGTTCCAAACTGACTGTGCAGATGGTGGGGGTAGAGGTGGTGGCTTCAGCCCCAGAGGCCTCCAGGATGGACAAGGTGGCCACAGTGGCCCACAGGCTGGACCCACAGGCGGCTCTGGGAAAGGCTTGGTTCGCTTTCCAAGGCTCCCTGGGGCCCCTCAGGGTCAATCTGAGTCCCCATTTCCCCTGCTCACCTCCTTTCTGATCCACCCAGAGCCGGCTCAAGGAAAAGCTAGTGAAGGGGGGCGTGTAGGCTGAAGCACTGGGGGGCTCTGTTGGAAATGTGCTCAGCTAGACCTTGAAGGCACTGAAGGCGCCTGCCCACCTGCCCACGTGTTCAACTCTGTCCACGCCTCGGCAGAGGACGGGAGCTCTAAATACCCCCTGCAATGTGATCCTTGGCCCTGGGGGCAGCGGGGGGGTGGGGAGCAGGAGTCTCTGTACTGGCTCAACCTTTTTAGGGGTCCCACCCAACGCCGCCTCTCATTCTCAAAGCTGGGAGCCAGCCACGATTTTGTCTTCAATGCTGCAGCTTCCCTGGTGGTGGTCAAAGGGGCCACCAAGGCAGAGACCAGCTGCCGGGGTGCCATTCTGCATGGAGCCTACACACTGCGGGGGGCCGTGGGGTTAGGGGGCTGCTCCCCGGGGGCCTGGGCTAGGGGAGGACGGGGGGAGGCCACAGTCAGCACAGCCCCTTCCCTTATGGACACCCCGGCTTCCGTCTCCTCGCTGGTTCCTCCTGCCGGCAGTCTGAGCCCGGGACATCAGCATCGGGGATGTGCTTGCCCAGCGGAGTGGTCACGCGGCTCGGACTGGCCACCACTCAGAGGCGGAGCTCCCTGCAGCTGGGATCCTGTCCTCTGCCACTTTAGGAGGAGAGAGGGGTTAACACGAGGGCCGTTGGGTGGCAGGACAGTAGTGGACACTGTGTGCCAGGCACAGTGTGGACGTCTCAGGTGCTGCTTCTTGACCCACCGCCAGTCACTGCTCTCTCACAGGCGAGGACTCGGAAGCCCAGAGGTCAAGGGACAGCTGTATCAGAACCGGGGCTCGCATGTCTGCTCCAGCACAGACGGAGGGCGGGACCCAGCTGACTCCCCAGTCTGGGGACAAAGTTCTCACTGGGGACAATGTCCAGGCTAAGAGATGTTCTAAGCTCCTAGGCACACAGGGTGCCTGGACAGAGGGTACACAGGTGAGCCATTCCCTGGAAGGGGGCAGGGAAATGTTTGTAAGAGCAAAGTTCCCAGGGACAGAGGGGGGGTTCCAGTCATAGGAGCCTGTTGCCAGGAGCTGCTTGGGTGGAGGAAGCTGTGGCCCGCCCCTGGGTGCTGGCAGGACCAAAAGCTGAGCCTGCCCTCGGGGGCTGCCCTCTCCCAGCCCCAGACTCCAAGGTGTGCTTTCCTCGCTCACTGTTTGCTCCTGGAGGGACCGAGATGCCCCAGAGGAGAACTGGAGGCAGAGGCCTCACGTGCCCCCCTGGATCGGCATTCTCCAGGTCTGGCTCCTGCCTCCCCGCCCTCCCACCTCTCCCTGGGCAAGGCCTGGCTTGCCTCCACCTCTGTGGCTTTCCTCACCCTTAGCACCACCCGCGACTCCCACGCGGGTCTCCTCGGGGGCGGCTCTCCGGCACGCCGAGCCCCAGAGGCCTGGGTGGCCTTCGTGTCTCCGGTCCCCAACGCGACTGGCATGGAGTGAGGTTCAGCGCATCATGTGTGCAGGGCAGCTTCCTGGCCACACGCATCTCATGTCTGAGGGTGGCTGTGAGACTCTGGGGAGACCCCCCGAGGACTGGAAGAGAAAGAAGATTATGAGGACACCATGACAAGGCTGCCGTGTGGGAGGACCCCCGTCCTGGGGGGGTGGGGCATGCCAGAGGCGCCCACTCCCTGGAGTCTGAATGTGGTGGTGACCTAGCAGATGCCCGGTGGCCTCCAGGCCATCTACACTGTCCGCTGCTGCTGGCTGGACGGATTGACAGACTCACCAGAGACCAAATGCTCTCTGCGCCCGTAAGCTCTAAAACACCAGCGGAGAGGAGATGAGGAGTGTTGCTTGGGCAGAGCTGAGGCCTCAGGGCAGGTGACCGGGGCTGTCTGTGTGTCCAGGAACTTAACCCCAGTTCAGACCCTGCGGGCTGCTAATCACACCCTGCTCCACAGGAGAGCTGCCCTGTGCTCTCTTCGTGGCCTGGCACAGGGTCCTGCATGAGGCTGTGCCTGAGTCCCTCCAGCCCCTGTCTCCCCAGCCAGGAGGAGTAGCTGACATGACAGAGCCTCCCCCCCAGCCAGGAGGAGTAGCTGACATGACAGAGCCTCCCCC